ATTCTGGGTACGTTTGTAGTGATTGTCCTTTACTAAAGACTGAGTAGAGCTGTAGAAGGTTGCTGGACAGATTACTGGTCTAGATGGGTGAACACATGAGGGCCCTCTAAAAAGATTAGAACTTTTCATCCTGGGGCACCAATCTGGGAGGGACATGTAGTATAGTGGTTAAGAACATGGCCTTTTCTATTAGATAGACTGAATATGAATCCTGGCTCCATGACCTATTAGGTTGTGACCTTAGACAAGTTACCTAAACTATGAGTTTACTTGTTTTCACCTGAGAAATGGGAATATTAATAGTGCCTTCCTCATGGGGCTATTGTCAAGAGTATGCACATAAATATGTCAGCCTTATCCCTGGCACATAATAAGCCTTCAGGGACTGTTATTATTTGAAGCCTATAAAATCATGTACAAGGTCATCAGTGTCAATACAAATTCTTTCATATCCTGGAACAATTAAATGAGGAGGGGAATGCCTTTACATTTTACACAGGTAAAATTAATGCATGTAAGGGGAAGTCTGATTTAAATGGCAGGTAGTAAACCTACGGTCTCCATTGCCTCACAAGATGTTACAGGCTGAAAACAAGTGGATTTAATAAAGGACTCATGGGTGATAGAATCATCATGGATAACTAAGGAAAACATGATTTTGATAGTTGTTGCTAGATTCATGGTTAATGACAAAAAGAACAAGGCTATCTTCCCATAAATTCCTCTTAGAGTCAGATTGTTGGACTGGATATTCCCTGAGGTTGTTACAGTGAGGGCAATTCTCAAATTTAAATGCCTAAATAACTGCTGTCTGAATTAATCAAGCTATTATGTTAATTTTGATTTTCCCATGATGATGGCAGATAACAACCATCAAAAGACTTCAAAGTCATTGTCTCCTGGCATTGTGTGGTCACTGTAAACATTGTTCAAAAAGACTCAATAGCTTTGAATGAAGAGCTATAGAAAGAAATATGAAGCCTTTGTGTTAGCAAGAAACCCTTGTTAGAACCCTGACTCAACAAGCAAGAGCTTACCCAATCAGATAACGTAGACACAGTGTATATTTAGATGTGTCAAGGTATTTTCCCCTACCAATTAGAAGCACAGTAAAATTTCAAAGTCCCAGAAGGCACTGATTTGTTCTGTGCATCCTTTATAGACTGCTGTCTAGAACATGAATTTCAACTAGTTGAGAGGCCTCTCTGTGCGGAGTGGCAATGGGAGGTATATTTGAGTCAATTAGGGTAATCAGGAGGGGTATGACTTAGAGTTTCCCACTTCCATCAATGATCATGAGACTGGCATCAGAAAGATATACTTTCAAATTCTAGCTCAGCCACTTACTAGCTGTGTGACTTTGGAGTAGATAAATTAATGGCTCTGAACCTTCATTTCACCATCTTTAAATTGAATTTATAACACCTACCTCATAAATGTGTGGTGAACATTAAATGCCAGAAATGGATATACCATCCTTTAGTAATATGGTACTTAAATGAATATCATTAACAATTTAAAGCACTCAGCACACTGCCTGACATAAAGTAGGCATTCACCAATGATCCCTTTCTCTAGATGTCCACAAAACCAGATCTTATGCCCAAAGGGATGAGTCCCCTATGCATAAGGAAGACTAAAATTCTACATAGTCCTCCACTAGGTTACTACAAAGCAAATGGGTTTGGTGGAATATAGTCATAACTGGCTTATCACTGAGCTAGACAGATAAGAGAACCAGAACCATGTAGGATAAATGCTAGAAATCAATGAGCAGGAAATGAGTGGAGGTAAATGCAGGAAGTGAAAACCATAGGTATTTAGGAATTTTATTACAGCTGTAGACAAAGGAGAGAGATAAAGGAGGCTGGCTGACTGTTCAGGAAAGCTTCCTAGCGAGGCCAATCTTCAGCAGACTCACTATGATTCACACTGTGGTGCTGACTTTGCATACTGACACTCTTATTTTTTTAATTATTTATTTTTCTTAGTGTGCTCAGTGGTGATTAGGATCCATAGGATTGATGCTATTAAAACCCACAAGAAACTGATGTATAAGCCAAACACCAACTTATTCCTTTTATAATGAGAATTAACTGCCAAATAGGCTAAACACGCATGTCAGCTGGTTAGCAAATTTTCTTTCCATAGCAAAGTTTATATAGGAAAGTAATCACAGTCACATTACTTGGAGAACATGGAGTCAGGGCAAAGGGAGTTAGGTGACCATCTTAATGGCAAATGATACAAATTGGAATGGCCTTGTACCTTCAACCCACAGCAGGGGTGGACCTGCCAAATGGTCTGCTAGTCAACATCTCATCTCTGAGTCTGGAGGGATTACCAATGCCCTGTGTTTCTTTAATTGCCTCCTTTTCTAGACTCCATGAAGACCATTCTCTTGTTAACAATTCCTTCTTCAGACATCGTAAAATGATTAGATTGTACCTTGCTGGTTGGCATCAATCATGCAGCAGATTTGTTTCCCTAAAACTACAATCTTGATTGGACCTGGAAGTACCCTAAGCCTTTGCAATTGCAGACTACATGTTTGGATAGGCTATATCTGATTTGTTCTCTTTGGATTCTAATTAGTCTCACTCTCAGAGAAATCCACTTAGCTATAAGTTTTGAGGACACACCCTTGTAACTATGCTAAGTCATGAGTCATTCTACATAGTTGAAATGGATGGCGTATAGTGGATGGTGTCACTATAACAAAATTTTGCAGTGGTAAAGTGGTTGCTAGCTAGTAGGCAGCAAAGCATTAACCCTGCATCTCACTCATGCTCAATCTGGCTGTTAGGTAGTATTACATAGTGTATAAAAGGTTTTTGATTGGGAATACCTCAACAAAGGGCCTTAAGAAGTGGGAAATGAAACGAAGTTCATAGCCCTGGATTATTTTCTCTGAAAGGCTAGGAAGTCTGAAGATTTCTTGGGGAAGAAGGTAATGTTCCTGCAAAGGAAAGGTTCAAACAGGAAATAAGGTGAGAGAAAATAAGGTAACATCTTTGTGAGAGAACCCACAATAATAAATCATGGCCCTAAGATAAGGAAAGATTGGTGATCAAGCCAACTGAAAGCTCCTATCAGCATTCCAAGACCATGCTGGGATCAGTTAGGAAAGTGACTGGAGGCCGTTAGGTTAGTCCTTTATTACAGAATTGGTGGAGATAAATCAAGATACCTCCAGGTAATCCCAGAGTCATTCAAAGTTCAAATGCATCTACCTGATAGAGAATCCCATACAATCTCAGTACTGCAGTGGGAATTTCTTGGCATAACTGTAATATGTGCATTCAGGTCTCCTTGTTGCCAGAGCATATGGAGTAATGTGGATGTAAAGCAAGCTGTTGATAAAAGAGACCCCTTGTGAACACAAATAAGGATTGGCACAGTGGTTAGCGAGGCACTGATGGCTAAAAAGATCTGTTTCTTGGTGCTAAAGAATGAGAATAGTAAGGGCCAGGCTGGGTTTAAGAACTGTGAAAATTAGTGCAATTCTACACTTCATGTTCTGAGAGGCTTTGATGGCTGCTAGGGAATACAGAATTACTGATCTTTCTTCAGGATATCCATGACGGGGACATATATCAGCACCAAGAAGCAGGGAATAGAGAGCTGGTAATTACTGATTATGGCAAACACTGATTATCACTGGATATTCCTAACATTTTAGGGAGTTGTTCCTTTCTAGCACAGCACTACTTTTGTTCAGAAGCATCAGGAATCTATACACAGAGCTGATATGTGTTAAGAGTGCAATACAATCAATCAACCCCCTACTTCAGTTTTGTGCACAGATGGTGTTAATATATGTACCCCAGGATTTTTCAGATGAGATGGTTCAGGAAGTTGTCTGCCATTCCTTGCTTTTCAAGATCTTCAATTAAATGAGAGCCTCAAGAGGCAGTCCATAAGGGTAGAGCTTAACAGCAATGGGCAGTGATCCTAGATGGTGACCACACTGAGGCCCCTAGAGTCAATCTTTAGTGGAGATTTATTTGGCCATGTTCCCTATCCAAGGCAGCATGAACATGCTGCAGACACAGTCATTATGATGGAACACCTTCCCCAGCTCTCACTAAATATTTTGCAGAGATCATTATCCTAGACCATTTGACTTGGCTGTAAGACATGGTGGAACCTCAAGTAGTCATGTTAGGAAACAAGGGAGTAAGCTGGGATTAGTAGGGCTTGGCTAAAAGCATAAACCTGCCTTAAGGGTTAGTCCTCAAAGAGGACCAACAGTTCCAATGAGAGTGTTCAAATGTCCTACAATCTGGTTTGTCAATAGCCAAGAGGTTCAGTTTGCTGGGAAAGCAGGAGTCTTTAGGTGGCAAAAAAATACATGGCTATGTGGAAGGGTGGCAGAGTTGTGGTTCCAGGAAGCTTGGTTTGTGTCAAAACTAGACCCTAGCCAATAGGTAAAGCAGGATCCAGCCTCTAGGAGGAGAATATTGGCAGGATAATTATAGAAAAGCGATTAGGACTTCAGCCAAAGGCTCTACATCAATAGGGAACTAGGATACAGACAAATGAGGGTGAGGGTGAAAGGCTTGAGCTCAATCGTAGGCACATAAGATACAGGACTTGGGCCAACAAACTCAACCTGGATCTCACCCACTGTTGGGTATAGGATTCCCAGTACACTGCCAGCATTTTCATTGGCTCAGACTGGGCAGTTTTGCCTACAGGCTTTCAGTACTCTTGGGGATTGATCCCAGCTGCAGAAAGTGCCTGTCTGAAAGTGCTTCTCTGAAAGTCCCTGATGAAAAGAATTGTTTTTATCATTGTTGGATCACGTTTGGTGAGGGTTCATTTCCTCATAAACAAGATCTGGTTATTTTGATTTTCAGAAGCAGATGAGTTAATGACTGTCTGTTAAGTGGTATCATGGTTCCCCATCCATATTTTAAAAGTTAGTGCATGGTCTAAATCAGTAAGGCTGGGGGTAAGAGGGATATAAGTTTACAAAGTGACTTCCTGGGCTCCTCTTACTGGTGAGCTGGGTTATTTGCCCTCACTGGGGCTCGAGAACGTTTGGCAAGGCAATCTCTTGTGAAGTGACCAGCTTGGTTGCAGTAGAGGCACAACTTAGTTTCTTGTTGGCGGGCTCGTTTGGCTGGGGTGAGAGGTGGCTGGCCTCCCCGCAGCTGTATAGGTTCTTCTTTGGGTAGCAGACATGTGGGACTGGAGAGAGCTTGGTTGTGGATCAAGGAAGCCAACATTGGGAGCTGGGTCTCTGACTGCAGGAGTTCTGGCCTGTCACTACGTTTCTTGTCCAACTGAATACACTGAGTAATCAGGTCTGGGAGGTTATCCATCATATCCGTAACACTCTCTTCATCCTGGATGGGATTAGCTAGTCCCTCTTGGAACTGATCATTCTGACTGATTTCATTACAGCTCAGATTTTGAGCAAGGAGTCGGAAAGCAGTGGTGTCCTGCTGGGAAGAGTTGTCCCCTTTCTCAACCTTAGCATTCACCAGAGAGTTCATCTCTTGTTTTGTGGGTTCACAAAACTGCTTCTGAAACTCAAGGACAAAGTTCTCATATTGCTTCAGCATAGTACTCTGGTCAGCCCCAGATATGACCCCATAACTTTCCATCTGCTGAGATAGGTAGTCAAAAAAGAGCTTGACCTGGACATCATTTTCAGGATTGGTGATCTGAAGAGCTGTCAAGTAGGTAGTAACCTGAGCAAGAAACTCTGAAAAACTGGCAGGGTCACCATGAAATTGGGTGAAATGCTCCAGTGAGCAGGGTACAGGAATCACTGGGGTGCCTGAGGCAGGCATGACTTGACCCCTCAGAGCAGGTTCCTCCTTAGTCAAATGCTGCATTTGTGGCTGCAAAATCAGTTTCTCTGACTGAATAAAGGAAGGCTCTACCTGCAAGGTAGGTGGTGATTCTGTGCACCTCTCCATTATATCGCCTGGAATCAGGTGAAACTGAGTAGAATTGAGTACCAGTACTGGAGGCCAATGAACAGAGAGGGTTTGCTCTATGATCAGAGAAGCAGTGTCACAAGCAGAGAAGCAGAGAAGCAGTGTCACAAGCCAAAGCTGTTAGTCATGAAGAAAACACTAGGGGATGCTGACAGCTGAGTTGCAGAGATGCCAAAAATTGTCCACTACTCAATGTTTCCTCTTCTTCATGGATAATGCCAACATTCTGCAATTCAGAAGAAATAAATTACCTTAGAACACATAGAAGATTTGCAGTTAAGAAGATATAACAGTAACAGTAACAGTACTTTTCTCTTCTCCCTCCCTTTCCTTGTAATACAGGGGCAATTTGCCCTCAAACTAAGCTTTGATTCTTTTTTTTAGATGCTCCAACCATTCATTATTTTATTTAAAAAAATTTATTTATTTATTAATATTTTTTTATATTCTAAGATGTTGTTGAGGAGGAGTTGGGGAGGAGGGGGTGAGGAAAGGGGGGAGGGAAATAGGCTGGGAGAAGGGTGAAAGGGGGGCTGTGGTTGAGGCCCATGGCATCCTCCTTATTCTGGCAGGGGAGACCAAAGGACTTCCAGCAGCGGCTTGGTTGCTAACTGGGCGGCTTGGGTGTTGTATGCAGATGTCAGGGGGTTGTGGCTGAAGCCCTCATCCCCCCACTGCCCTGGCTCAGAGGCCCAGACTGTTTCCAGCGGTGGCTCGGTGGTCATTGCTTAGCTGGCTGCAGATGTTAGGGGGCATGGCTGAGGTCCTCAGCTCCCCACCACCTGGCTTGGGAGTCTGGGGCACTTCCTGCAGAAGCTTGGTGGTCATCACAGGACTGGTTGTGGACGTTCGGGGGGGACATGGCTGAGGCTCTCAGTCTCCCACTACCCTGGCTTGGGAGCTTGGAGTGCTTCCAGCAGTGGCCTGGTGGTTATTGCTGGGCTGGGTGCAGTTGTTGGGGGTGTCATGGCTGAGGCCCACAACCCTTCCCCCTCCCCAGCTTGGGAACCCAGGGGGCTTCTGGTCCTTCTAGGTTTTATAGGTGTTCTTTGGTGGTGTTAGACCTTTACTAGTTAATATCAAACTTTGTCTCTGATCTGTAGGTATTTTGTTTTTTCTTTCAGTTCTGTGTTAGATTATTTGCTATTCCTACCACTTAAGGTCTGCACTGGAACTAATTTGTTGTCCTTTGCTTACTTCTAAAATCAGGGAGCTTCCTAAGGGAACCAGCATTTGAGCCCTGTGGTTGAGCTAAATTGCTGCTTTGCTGCTGATTCTCTGTGGAAGGCTTTTTGTGCAGCTCAGGGTTTAACTGTTGACCTTGTAAGCACTTCTGGGTCTTGTGAGGTCCAGTACACCTGAGTTGTGTGGAAACTCTGGTCTGGGCCTGGATCTTTTCAGCAAACTGCTTCCCCTGCAGTTCTGTATTCCTGACCAGTCTCCACTGAGTGGTCCTGTGCTGATTGGGGGGCAGATCAGCTGTCCTTGCTGTGCCCCAGTATTCTCCCAGTGGGCCAGTTTCCTCCAGCCCCCACACTCCAAACACTTCCCATGGGACAGGCCATGCACCGGTCCCTTGTGACGACTCACTGACCTCTGAGTGGCTCCTTTTTTCAGTTGTCTGTGACCCCTCAATCCTACATGAGTCTGTGGGAATCCTGTTATTGGTCTTGCTGGCCTGGGTGCCACCAAGGCCCTCTTCTCCCCTGCCACCTCCAAGCAACTTCATCTGAAGGGCACAGCTGTGGCTTTTGCCAGCTTTTGCTCTGTGCACTCACCAGGGCCAGCTCGAAAAGGTGGGAGCGGTTCTTTCTTTCTCTCATCATGTCTTCTCCTGCCTTCATGAACTCCATAGGTCTCTCTTCCTCTTCCCCTGAGCTCTGGTGGCCCCAGCTTGGCTGTCATTGATTTTTAATAGTTACAAATTGGTTGATTTGTGAGAGAAAGTGACACTGGGGACTGCCTATTCTGCCATCTTTATGCCTTGATTCTAAATTATCTTTTTTTCATCACAGAGTCAAAGAATTTTACAATCCAAGGAGATCTTAGAGATCATATAGGCCAAATTCATAATTTCACAGATGAGAAAACAGAGTCAGAGAGGTAAAGATGTTTGCCAAAGGTCACATAGTTAGTTAATATCAGAGCTGACATGTCATCAGGGCTGCTATCTAAAACAGCACTTCCTCCAGCACCACAAAGTGCTTATTTTCATGTACTGCTTGGTCATGATGATGGCTCATGCCCCTGGCTATTCAAAATGTGATCTGGAAACAAGCAGCATAGGCATCACCAGGGAGCTTGTTAGAAATGCAGAATCTCAGGCCTCACTCCAGACTTACTGAATCAGTTTTCATACTTTAACAAGATTCCCAAGGTGATTGGAATGTTCTTTGAAGCTTGAAAAGTGCTGCTCTAGAGAACACTTAGCCTGAATTGGAAAAAGTCACTGGTTGGACTTGACTCTCAGTGCTGTAAGCCCAGCCTGCATTGCTATAGGGATCTGATTGCTGTGATGGTGGTTAATCCATTTTTTTTCTGGCTTCCTAGTCCCTGTCTGAGGTCACATTTTGTTGCCATGGAAATGATTAAGACATCACAGGCAAGATGAAGAGGTAAACTTGAAAACCTAGCAAACAAGAACTATTTTTGAAAGTATAAAGATCAAAATGTTCAGCAGTCCTCCTTGCATTGATAACAAGAATAAAGCAACCACTAGAAGTTAAAAACAACCCACAAGCATATGGCATATCAGTCGAACTATTCTGCACTTCAATTCCTCTCATTGCCCTTCCCTTGTGTAACATACTATTTAAATATATTTAAATTAGTCACTGATGGACAAAATATGTGTACAATTGAATCTTTAAAATGTAAAACTTGATTCCCTAGGTTCTATTTCATGGTTCCTCCTCTCTAGACCTATGGAAAACTTATTGAAAGACTGAAATAGTGTAAGATTGGGGATCAGAAACTGTGATCCAAACACTAGCATTAATCAGTTGGATGACCTTGAAGAACTCATTTGTATCTCAGTTTCCTTTTTAATCTAATGAGGATGACTATTTTGTTTATCTCAGAGGGTTGTTGCATCAATGAAATAATAGGTGCTCTGAGTGGCAAAAAATGAGATTTGCTTCCAAAATTGTTTGTAGCTTGAACAATGCCCAGTGGTGAGGCCCTTATCACATATTGCTAAAGTAGGGAAATACTGCCATACCCTTCTTTTTTTCTTTCTTTCTATATCTCACCCTTCTAATCTCCTGATCTACCTTCCAGACCTCTTCCACTTTCCAGGTACCTATCCATGAACTCATTCCTGCTATTCCAGCTAGATGTCAACTGATAGCTAAGATGTGAGTTAGTAAGGGTTAATGTTTGGCCTTTCTCAGGGAATTTATTTTTTTCTCAAACTTTAATGTGCATAAGAGTCAACTCAATCCCAATCCCTAGCAATTCTGATTCAGTAGGTCCTGGGTGGATCAAGCTGTCCAGTTGATTTCTGATGCAGGTGGTCCTCCTGCAAAACACTGTCCTGATGAATCTCGAGGTATAAAGCCATACCAGTAGCAACACAGAGAAGTAGGAGTGTGGGCGGACATATTTGGAGGTAGAAGGTTGACCCTCAAATGACATTAAATAGGTGGTACACTACCTCCACATAAAGCCCACAAGAGCCCACAATGTCCTTCACAACTGCTCATCTATCCCACGCGGTAGAGTTCAAGAGTTAAGCATGTAGGTTCTGGAGTCAAGCTGACCTGGGTCCAAATCCTGGCTTGACCAAAAGCTGTGTGACTCTGGGCAAGTTATTTAACCTCTTTGGGAATCAATTTCTGAACTTTAAAATAGAGATGATTATATTATTTACCTCATAGTGTTGTGAGGATTAAATGAGGTGAAAAGAAATTAGCACAGCTTCAAGCACATGGCAAGTTGTCCATAAACGTTAGCTATCATTCTAGGTCCACAGTCTGTTATCTAATTGTGTTTTAGAATTCAGAATTTAATTTTTTTTAGATTTTTAGAAAGGTAACACGAAGTATGTACTGTTTGTTACATAACACCTCCAGCGGTGTCTGGGGAAACATCCCATAAGTAAGCCATTAATATTCCTGCAAGAAAAAAAAATGTCTAAATATTCATACTAAAAGGGATAAAGACTAAGTTCATGTCAATTCAGGTCAAGTTTTGCTGCCAAATGAGTTTTGGCACCAAATTAGTGAAAAAATCACCTCCATCTTACAGAGCTTTTTGATTTCAGAATTGAGATAAGGGATTGTGGACCTCTATCAAACTCTTCTTTTGGTTGGAAAGGTACAATTATAATTCTTCCTTCCCTGTCCCTGCTTTCTGCCCTTTCCCTCCACCCTCAGAAGTTCCAGAATCTCAGCTGAGGTCTTCTGTTTCTTTAGAGAATTACGTGTTCAAGGTGGCACAGCATTTAATTTTCCTAATTATGTAGCACTGATGGAACATTTGCTAAAATTATAAGCATTAGCCGAAATGCAAATCATCCCATGGAACTGTTGTCAATGGCAATTGCTTAATCCCTTAAAGAAAATCTCCCTTGCCTTGTCACTTTGGAAACTGCTCTCCTTTTGGAGGTCAGTGGCCTTTTATTGGATTACCCCAGAGGATCCTGGGGAAGAGTGCCAGGCTTGAGGAGGTCCAGATCACAGCATGGAAGAGCCAAAGCAGAAACAGAGCTGGAACTTCAAACACACAAGCTTGAGGGATCAGATTGGTGAGCTTGGACTAGGTCTGACACAAAACTGCATGCATTTAAGCTTTTATGTAATAGGTATGTGTTTCAACCACAAAAACACACAAAAATAAGTTTAGTAAACTATTGCAAGTCATTTTGGTGTTTGTGTTCAATTTGGCTCAAAGCCATGGTCAACAATTTCCCTGGACATAAAACCATTCCATTCTGGAGTCCCCTGAGACCTCATCTGGAGAAAGGCCTGCAGTAACCT